TTAAAAACTTCTTATAAATTAGCAAAGTCTCCAATTAACTGTACTTAAAAATATGCAGCAAAGTTTATTACAATAAACACCAAAACATTTAAGATTGGTATATTTGGTAGAATGAATTAAAATGACATTACCCCAAACATCTCCAGCAAAAGAACCATCTTCTTTCTGTAGACTCTGAACATATTCCACAACTTTATTTACGTCAATAACATTAATACTATCATACAGAGTAAGAATCTGTAACCAAAAAAAGTTAAATAAATACATCTTCAACCCTAATTGATTCTAATGTTCTTCCTCAACTGTCTTTTAAGTCAAGCATGTCCTTTTGTCTAGGAATATTATAAACTTTTCTCAAACATGCAGAGTATCTTCTATGCAATAAAATTATAGGTATTAAAATCCAAACTTCTAAAAGCATTTTTCTACATATAAATTGTAACTTAAAATTTTAACTCTTAAATAGTCTAACTTATGTAGACTTTAAACCCTTATTTGCGGGATCTCCAATATCAAAATTAAAACATTTAATGCCACCTTGTGATTTCCAAATATTTACATACACTAAACCTTTTACCATCCAAGGTCTCAGTGTAATTTTAGAATTTGCATCAACTTTGAATTCAGCTAATACATGCCATCACATCATTGACCTTGTTAAATAGACTTCATTTGCAAAACTTAGGGTAACTTTTTGACATACTCATTTTATTACTTTCCTGGTTTCAAATTTCCCCTCAAGTTAAGAGCATACACTACCAAGATTGCCAAATTTTAATCAGTATTTACCTGGACAGCACTCAGAGTGTACAAAAGATGAGGATCATGTCCAATACTAGCACTTATTCCACCACACTCGTGTTGACATGACTTAATAAATGCCAGAATTTCTTCTTTATTCATGCGATTTAGTTGTCCCATGAGATCCATTACAGTCAGACCCCAATAGACGCCACTCATTCTCAAGTACTCAGACATACAGTACTCCTAAAATACACAATTACTTTAATGTGTCAGTTTGAATTCATGCTGGGTCAGAAACCAAACATATAAACACTTAATCCTATCAATGATAAGTTTAAATTTGTGGCTCTCAAATTTGGGGGACAGAAGTTCCACTATCTGAGAAGTGTATGATAAACTCACTTGTGACTGACCAAACAGGGCTTTAACTCTTCCAGGAGCCAACCGGAAGAGTAAATGAGAAGACCTACTTTTTTTTAAGTTCGGGGAGAACATTTCTTTCAGAGTTCCTACATCGTATTTAACGACTCCATAACAACATGGTTATGGGAACATATTACTTAAGTCAAGAATTTATCAATACTAGGTATTTTCCATGGTAATCTAGCGGTTGAGGGAAAAATATTTACTTCCAGGTGAGTTGCTCACTACTTTATTCAAAGATCGTCCCAGAGAAAAATTATTCTATAATGTTTAAAACTCAAGGTAAAAGCTTTTCAAGGTCTCAGAGTAATTCTAGAGCTAGTGTTATTACACATCAGCTGTAAATTCAGATAATACATGCCAACACATCATTGACCTTGAAAGTATTGCCTCAACTACAAAAGTAGAAATTTATTCTGTACTTCAAACCTCTTAGAATGGGCCATAAATACTGACCCACTGACTGCTTATGGAAAATAGTCTTCTTTGAAACTTTCAACATAGAACCATACATACATAATCATCTTTCTTTGAGCCATAGGATGCAATATAATCTGCATGCTTCTCCAGTAAGAGGGTGTCAGGCGCATCGGGCTTGATGGTAACATCCTTCTGTGGTGTGCCCTTTCAAAATAAAAGCAGTGATTTCATAAACGTTTACCTTTCAATGTCTGACCCCAGGGCACATTCAATACACATCGGAACTTGAAGCCCTTGTAATACTCAGGTTATTTTTCAGGTCTCAGAGTAATTCTAGAGCTAAAGTAGTCGTAATCAACTTTAGATTCAGAATACATGCCGGCTCATCATAGACCCAAAAAATTACCTTCATCAATTGCTTATCTTTCCCTTAAAGAGTAAAATAAAAACTAGGGAGTATTGACGCTCACAAATTCAGGACAAGTTATGGTTTATATGTGGCTATAAGCAAGCGGATGCATAAACATACCTAACTAGACAATAACTTGCAATTAGGTTATTTAATGAAATTTTATTAATCTAGAAACTCGGATTCAAAGCACTTTCTACGCACCCAAGTTATTCCCTTGCTTAAGCAAACAGTCCCCCTTTAGCCTCATGCTCTCCAGCTTTCGTCAGTTTCTGAATTTCTAACAAGCCCCCAGGTGATGAGAATGCTGGTCTAATTCTCCCCATTATCTAGAACTTCGTGACTGACACTGAATTGTATTCATTTTTAAGTAGGTCATGACGATTACTAAAAAGAAGTTATTAAATTTCTTCCATATTCCATTTAAAATTTACCACCTTACCAGTCACGATTCTAAAGATTGAGCCACTAAATACGTATGTATAGAGAGAAGGAAAAAAGCAGCGCCTACGTGGTATGATTTTGTGGGATTAAAAAATCGGGCCTTTGAATCCCGAGGCCCGCCCGACAGGAGGAAGCCTGCAGAAAATGACAGGCGGCAACCGGCCCGCGAGGTCTGCAGGAAACGCTGAGTAATATTTCAGCCTTTCTGAGCTCTCAAGAAACCTCCCAAGGCCCGTGGCTTAACCTAACCATTCTCCAACACCTGCTAAACCACACTGCAATCACTGAGCGGCTAAATACTACGCCGTGCGGCCTCCTGCCCGACCCAGCGGGACTGCAGCGCGAAGCGCAGCCACACTCACCATGTCTGAGAGCGAAAAGAGAACTGAGCTCGTTGGAGGGTGTAGTTAGCAGGCTCGCGCATGCTCAGAAGCACCCCTCAGGTCCCCTCCGCTGCCCGACATAGTTGACTAAGCTCCTGCCTGTCCCATTGGCTACACTAGGACCCCACCGACTGCTTATAGCTGTCTTTGCTGCCTGTGCTCAAAGGTTTTGCCTCCCTTCCCCTCCCCCCCTCCTTTTACTAATCTCATAATCCTATCGTTTGGTCTAAAATAGTTTTAAGTAATACTATCTCAATTACTTTTTAAAAAATATATATTTTACTTGTGTTTCACAGAGAGGAAGGGAGAGGGATAGAGAGTTAGAAACATTGATGAGAAAGATCCAACGTTAGAGCTCAATTACTTTTAAAAAAAGTAAAGTTAGAAATTACATTGTAGAAAATGGAGAATAATGCAAATAGGACCCTTAGAATCCGCAGGCTGACGCTCTGTCTACTGAGCCTAACCGGTTAGTGCTCAATTACTTTTAAAAAAAGTAAAGTTAGAAGTTACATTGTAGAAAATGGAGAATAATGCAAATAAACTATGAACTACTACTGATTTCTGCTCTGTAGAAGAGATGACTCCTTTAGATTTTATTGCCCTATAGGTTATTAGCCAGTCATATCTATTAGCAACTTCTTTTAAGCATTTCTAACTGCTTTTATGTCTGTTCTTCAAATTCTCCCTTTTACCAGTTCTAACATCTTATTAGTTTCTTCATTGAGTTCAATGAAATGTTTAACGTGTTGAAACAACAAAAGCACTGTTGCCTATAAGCTTTAATTGTTAATCTCCAAAGATCTTTTGTACTATTTTTTTTT